TGGTGCGCCTGCTGCTGCTGTTGCTGCCGCCGCCGGCGGCTGCCGTGGTGGTGGTGTTGCGGCTGTTGTCGTTGTTGTCGTTGTTTTCGTCGGTGTCGTTGCGGCCGTTGTCGCTGACGATGCCGGTGCTTTCGTTGTTGATGTTGCTTGCTAGCTATTGTTCGTTGCTTCTTGTTGTGCCATCATCCGCAGCATCATCGTTTCCAACTGCGCCAACATCGCATGCAGCATGCATCAACAACATCACCCTCAACAGCATAGTCGTCATCATCGCCGCAATCGTCGTCATCGTCATCATCACCATCATCATCAGCAGCAGCAACAACAAAGGCTAGGCTAATACCATCGCCCCCGCATTCGCCATCGTCACCACCTGTCTAAGCAGCAGCAACAAAACCATGTTGTGACCAATTCACCAAGATGGCTGCTTTGGTGCTACTTAGTAAGAAGAATCAAGACGAAAGCGGCGAAATGTCGAAACAGAAAACAGAACATCGCAACGACATTACTGACTGCAGTGTGTACCCATGTGCTGATGTCCCCGCGAAGAGAATCTGGGCTCTGTTAGTTACTAGTCGAGGCGCGTGCGCAAAGCTATCAGCTGGGTTTCCCAGCTTGTGCTGGAGTAACCTCCGTTGTCGTTCACGATCCACATTCTTCGGCCCTTCCCCTCTCCAATGCGGCCAGTCACGGCCATGCTGTTGAAGTCCTTCATGCATTGTTCAGGATTTCGCGGTTGGGAGTCTAGGTTTAAGGTCACGGGGGTAAGGCTTAGGGGGTTGTCTTCTACGTTTCGTGCTTCGGGTTTGTGGTTGTTGGTTGAACGGGTATACAGTAGAAAGGGCCTGGCATCATATGCCGTATGGGAGACAACCAGTTCACCACCAGTCAGGAGGATTCAGGATTCCGGAGCGCTTCCCCCCAAGCACTAGCGGGTTCAGGACCACAGCCAACATGTTTTCTCCCAAGCACTGGCGCGTTTCAGGACCATGGCGCTATGCTGCCCAATTTATGCTCGTGGTAGGCTTCAAGGGGACGGCCAAAATCCTTTCCCCCAAATACTGCTGCGAATCAAGGTTTTCGAGGCAAAAGAAGTCCATGGTGAGAATTTCTGAAATCCCGCTCTCAGGGAAGCAACATGTTCACCTAGGGTCAATCGAAATTCTGTATTATGGACTTTTTATAAGCAACTGCAAAAACTAGGTTCGGTGGAGCTGGGGTTTAGGGCTTTGGGCCTTCATAATTAAAATAATACCGGCCCCTTTCAAGATTCCGTTGAAGGGGGATCGATAAGAAGCACAAAAAGGGTTCGATGATAAATTGAGGGCTTTATGATTAGGTTTTGAGGTGATATTCTACGATGATGAATATACTAGAACAATATCGAGGAAGCCTTGGGCAATAGTATTGTCAATCATTCAAGCTTCTACATCAGCATTGAGGGACTCTACGGAACAGAATTGTTGGGTTGTGGCGTTTAGGGATGAGGGGCATAGGGTTTTTAAAGTTACAAGCTTTAGGGTTGTGGGTTGTGTAGTCGGGGGTTCAGGGTTTATGGTATAGGGGTAGGGTTTAGGGTGCATAAGGTGGGGGCTTCAGGTTTAGGGGCTGTCGGTTGGGGGCCAAGTAGATTTCCGAAGCCCTAAATCCCACCCTAGACCCTAAAATCCTAGAACCCTAAACCCCTTAACCCCTAAACTCCTAAAACCCCAGACCCCTAAACCCTAAACCCCTAAGCCCTTGACCCTAAACCCCAAACCCCTAAATGATAAACCCCAGCTTTGCTGGACGCATGGCCTGCAGCACGGGCCCCCGTAGGTCGATCAGGTCCAACAAGAAGTCTGCCACTAAAAACCTGAAACCCTAAACCCTAAACCCCAAACTAAACCCTAAACTTAGGGTTTAGGGTTTAGGGTTTCGGGTTTAAGGTTTAGGAAACCCTAAACCCTAAACTAAACCCTAAACTTTGGGTGACGAGGGCTCGGAATTCCAGAGTTCTAAAGCGTATTACGGAGGTGCTAAAGGACATGGTCACTTGTCTCTTCTGGTGTTAAGTACTGACAAAAAACCCAAAGAGTCGTAATAGGGCCATGTAGTCAATAGACAGAATCCAAAATGATGCACAACCCCGCCGAGAAGCTTCGATAAAATGCCCCCAGACTGCGGGAGCTCAGCCTCGAAATCCAGTTCAGGTTTCAGGGCTTATGGGTTTATGGGTTGGGGTTTATGGGTTCAGGGTCTGTGGATGTAGGGCTTACCCAATCCCCCCAACGCAAGTAGTAGAATAATTGCCCCAAAAAACCCGAAAAAAGGCTAATATCCGACCTACTTTAAACTGGGTCCAGGTAGGGATTTAGGGACTTAGGGGTTTAGGGTTTAGGGGCTTGGGTTTAGGGTTTAAAGCTTTGGTGTTGGGGTTTAGGGCTTAGGGTTTAGGGTTTAGGGTTCGGCGTTTGAAAATCTGACCGTCTGCACTTGACGGATCACAGTAGCCCCTTCGGAGTCCAGAGTTGGGGTTTGGGATTTCCAAGGCGGTTTAAGGTTTAGTTTAGGGTTGTAGGGTAGGAAAAGAAAGCGCTTGCGAGTGGGTCCAGGTTTTCTTTGGTATTTCTTTGTGGTGTTATCTGGATATGTTTTTAGCTTTCGACCCATATACAAAAGTTGCACGAGTCACAGGGATGGGGGAAAACTACGGCTCTGCATGCGAGGTCTTTTTTGGTGCGTGTGTATTTTTTGATGGTTTTCGGCCTACTGGTCTTCGGCCCTCGTTCGGTCCCCCCGGTTTAGGGTGTTGGGTTTAGGGTTTAGGGTTTAAGGGTTCAGGGGTTTAGGGTTTAGGGTTTAGGGTTTAGGGTTTTAGGGGTTTAGGGTTTAGGGTCGGTCCCCCCAGTCTACCCGGCTACCTTCTGCGCCATTTCAGGCTCTGGGCGTCATCGGCTGTATGGCTCTACGTTGTTGATGGCACGATGCTCTCTAAAGCAAGCTTGCGCGGCCCGAAGAGACAGCAGGGGGGGGAGGGGGAGGGGTTGGGCCCGTAGACGGGCTTGGAAAGGTCTCATTTAAACTATGTGCTGGAGTTGATCGCTAAAGCACGTTCACAGGACAGGACTTAAGAAAGCGGCGGGTTCGGCGGGGCGCAGCCCCCCCTCCATTTGCAAACGCAATGCCAAGGGGACTGGCGGTTCATCACATCTTAAACACACTTGACGATGTCGGCCCATCATACATGTTAAACACGCTCCATCATTTGGCGATAACGGCTCACCATATAGCTTAAACACGCCCCCTCATGTGCGATTCCGGTTCACCATATAGGACAACGGTTCATCATAAGTCTTAATCACGCCCCCTCATTTGTCGACTGCGGTTCCACTAATATCTTAAACATGCCCCTCATTTGGAAATCTCGGTGCTTTATAGATCTTAAACCTGCCCCCACGGTTGGCGATTCCAGTTCACCATACATGTTAAACACACCTATCGTTTAGCGATTCCGGTTCCGCGTACATCTTAAACGGGCCCCCTCATTTGGCGATTCCGGTTCATCATATATCCCCAACCTGCCCCCTCATTTGGCGATTCCGGTTCATGATGTATCTTAAACACGCCCCTTCATCTTGAGATATCGGCTCATCATACATGTTAGACACGCCCCCTCATTTGGCGATAACGTTTCATGATATATCTTAAACACGTCCCCTCATTTGGCGTCTGATTCATCGGTTCATCATACTTATTAAACATATCCTCTCATGTGGCAATTCCGGCTATGTGTTAAACACGCCCCTCTCATTTGGCGATAACGGTTCATCATATTTCGTGAAGAACCGTCATTTGGCCATTCCGGTTCGTCATATATCTCAAACACGCCCCCTCATGTGGCGATTCCGGTTCATCATACTTCTTAAACACATCCCTCATTTGGTGATTCCGGTTCATCATATTTCGTACACACACACCCATCATTTGGCGATTCCGGCTCGCCATATGTCTCAAATACGCTCCCTCATGCAGCGATTACGGTTCACTAGATCTCGCAAACGCACCGCCCCCTTATTTGGTGATTCCGGCTCATCATATATCTTGTGCACAATTTGGCGATAACGGTTCATCACATATCTTAAACCTTAAACATGCCCCCTCATGTGGAGATCACGGTTCATCATATACCGTAAACACGCCCCCTCATATGGTGGATTCGGCTCACCATATATCTTAAACAGGCCACATTACAACAGTTCATCACACATGTTAAACACGCCCCCTCATTTAGCGATAACGGTTCATCATATATGCCTTAAACACGCCCCCTCATTCGGCGATCGCGGTTCATTATATGTCTTAAACTATCTTAAACACGCCCCACTCAGTTGGCGATAACGGTTCACCATATATTTTAAACATGCCCCCTTCATGTTCCGGTCCACCACTAATATCTTAAACACGCCCCCTCATTTGGCGATCCCGGCTCATCGTATATCCTAAACATTGGCGGACCGATTGACCGACTGTTCGACTGACTGCCTGGCGCTCGGCGCATGGACCAATCGACCGACCGCCCGATTGACTGACTGACCGGCATGCTCGCATACCGACCGACGGAACGACTGACTGACTGACCGGCGGGCTCGCGGATCAACGGACGACTGACGGACTGATTGGCGCTCGGCGCACGGCACCGACTGACTGCCCGGCGGGCTCGCGTGGCTGACTGACTGGGCGCTTGAAGCTACTCAGGCGAAAACCAAAACCAATACCAAAAAAAAAACACCCAAAAAGAACACCCACCCCTTGCGAGTGGGTCTAAAAGCGATGGCAGAACTTGCACGTGTGGTTAAGTTTTGTTTACTTCGATGTCCATGGTGATTTCGGACACTAACGCGAGTCCTGCCACTGGAACTCAGCAATACCGGAACGTACAGTGGTAAGCCCTTGTTTTTGAGCCTGTCGTAGGGTTTTGGGGAACCGACAAAAAAAAGGCAGGTTTTGGTAGCTCCAGAGATTGGCAGTGCTTGAGGATGGAAATCATCGCTGGGGAAGTGGAGGTGTCCCCCTAAACCCTAACCCCTAAACCTGAGCAGTATTGTAGGCTCCTGACTAGCCGAGGAGCCTTGTAAATCCTGCCAACTGTAGCATCAAATCCGCCTTCGCCATCTGTCTCCATGAACAGGAAAGCGCCTCGGGACAAAGGAACAATACAGGGGCCTTCATAATCAGAATAGAGTGTTCGGGTACATTTGGTACACTTAGCATACTTTTAACCCTAAACCCTTAAACCCTATACCCTGAACCCTAAACCCTAAATTTAGCATACTTTTATATAGTAAGGAATCCCAGTCCAAGGAATAAGAGTCTCAGAAGCGGCACCCAAATTTCTAAAAGCGCCATGCTACCTAAAGACTCCATGGTAGTTTCGTTTTTGGTGCTATAAGATAAAGCTGGTCAAACCACAAAAAGAGCTACAATGGAGACCCTAGGTAAAACAAAATATGTTGAGATTGGAGTCGGCGAATGTTTTCAATTGTGCCAGCTCTCATGTTTTTAGACCTTCCAAAATCCCTCATCTAAGGGAGTATACCAAATAACATCATGTTGGGGACCCATTCTAGTATAATTTGAGGTATATTCCTTATCCAAGGGACTTTGGAATGGCTGGGTTCTGAGCCCTAAACCCTAAACCCTTCATGGCAGTCTTGCGGGCAAGGTGCCATTCCCTATTGCTGCCACATCCTGTAGCTCGACCGGGCCGTCGACCGAGCCGCTGTCCTGCGACAGGATTCAGGATTCATAGAGGAGCCTGATTAAGAAACCTAAACCCTAACCCTAAACCCTAAACCCTAAACCCCAAACCCTAAACCCTAAACCGGGTCTTTATTTGGGTTCTTGACATGGGTAGTTCTCTAAGTAGGGGTCCCTTTTCGGGGTCCTTTCTGTAAGGGTGCCGTACCATGTGGCGGGGACCCAAAAGGGAGACTAATTTAGAAAACTACCCACATGAATTCTAGTGACTAGTGCTTTGGGGTTGCAGGGGCTGGTTAGGGCTTCCTAGAATAGCCTTTAGGGTTTGAGGCCAACTCAGAGCTTTAGGTTTAGGCTATAGGGTATGGGGCTTAGGGTTTAGTGTTCAGGGTTTAGGGTCTAAGGTTCACGCTACTTGGCTACTTCTCATGATTACTAGTTCGGCTGGTCAGGGCGATCACGGTCCCTCAGTGCTTCTGACGCTGATTTTTTCAACATCTCAACCCGGCAGGCGTTGCGGTTTAGGGTTTAGGGTTTAGGGGTTGACCCCTCAACTCTCTGGCGTCCTGCGAATCCACGGTGTAGCTGAAGTTGCTGAGGCCGCAGGCGGGCTGCAAGTCGCAGAGCTGCACGAAGCCGCTGGTGTCCGTAAGGAGGAGGCCAAGGCTCGAATCGTAGGCCACGCCACTGAGGCTGCCGAAGACTTGGACCTCTAAGGAGGCCTGAAGTACGCCGGAGCTGCTGAGAAGATGGAGACGCCCCGACTTCTCGACAATCGCGAAGCCTGAGGGGATGCGCTCGATCCCCTGAACCTGCAACTTCTCCACCAAGCTGCCATTCGGGTATGTCACGGACATGGTTTCCGTGATTAGTGGAGGTTGCTGCTGACTGTCAATGACCAAGATTTGAGTTTGCGCCTGAAGCTCGTCCCCCTCGATGCCATACAGCGTGCCGTCTTCTTCACCGGTGAGCCCGGCCACCGACGTCCATGGAAGAGGCGTGCCATCCTCTGCGTCTCCGGACTCCAGGAAGGGAAACTGCCTAGGCCACTGTGAACACTGGTAGAAGTTCAAGCCAGAGTCAATGTCTCGAGCACTAGACGCATGTCCCTCCGAGATTGAGACATAGAGATACCTGTCGGGCACCACCTTCCCATCCGCAGGCCTTCTGATGGATGGCAGTGCCTGCAAGAATTCGGGCGTAGAGGGGTCAGAGACCTCGAAGACAAAGGTGAGGCTTGCCCTGATACTCTGGACGAAGAGCATCTGGCAATCGTCCACTGTGCCGAACTGCACCCTCTGAACATCAATGCTGCAGTCGTTAGGGTCAGAGTCTGACTCAGGGTAGTGGCCAAGAGAAACCTGCTTGTCCAGATTCCTACCGGGGGACGATGGGGTTTGGGACAACCCTAAACCCTAAACTTGGGGACTACCTTTTCTCTCCATTGTAATTCGCTTTGTTTAACTAACTAGATATCTAGGACCCTACAAAGTAGCCCACAAAAGGAACCACAATGGAGACCAGAGTGACCAGAGCGACGTTTGAAAAAATCCTGCTACTTGCAAGGAACCTCTTAAAAGTACGTAGGGTTTATAGGGCTTGTAGGGATTACGGCTCCATAGTCAAAGCTGACTTGCTCCAGAAAGAAACGGCCAGGTGGTCCAGCTGATTCCCCGAAGTGAAGACAAGCTCTCCACTCTGCTTAAAGATGCTGAAGCCTCCTTTGATTCGAGCTTGGGGCTTGCCGGTGAGACAATCCACATACAGGCATAAGACAATCCCTGATTGAGCTTAGGGTTTAGAACCCTAAAGCCCTAAACCCCAAACCGTGGTAAACGAAGAAGCCGGGATAATGGTGATTCAAGAGTCGGCTGAGCCTGTCCGCCGTGGCAAAGAAGGTCGAATCACCCAGCCAAGCAACGTCGTACGGCGTCCGCCTACTAGGTTTCCCAGTAACCTCTTGAAATAAGGGTAACCTTTGTCCCTACTATCCAGTCTTACCAGAAAGATCCCCGAAACAAAAAGGGCAAAAGGATACTACTGGGGCCCATGGCTAGCCTAACATCCGTGAGGCTGGAGTTCAAGCGAATGAAGTCATCCTGTGCGAGGCTGCTGTGGTTGTTCGGACGTCTGGTCTACCTCGAACTACCATAGCCGTAACCCTGTTTGCAGGGGCTCTTATCATAAGTAGGCTTCGGTGGTATGAGGTAGTTTGTGCATCTAGTTCCTGGATCCTGACCGGAAAGCTGCCTAGCAACAACAAGCCTATGTTGGAGAATATTCGTAGTACGGATTGTCCTCAAGCGTGTCGATGCCAGTGAGGTTAACTTCGCCGGCAGAGAACTTGTGAAGGATCGTGGCATCCGTCAGATTCAGTATAATCACCGAGTTGCTGTGCACGGTCACTACTGCGATGTTGTCTGCCCGAATTGCAACCCTGGGATAGTCGTAGGTAATGTTCGTAATGTCACTTATCACCTGCGTTGTCCAGGCCACTGGGTCCGAACTAGAGATGTTCACTTGGACCATGTAGGTACCCTGAGTCGCAATAGCCGCAATCGTTCTGTCTGGGCTGATAGTAATGTCAGATGCCCTTGCTCCAAGCTCGATGGTGCGCACGGATGTCTGAGACGTGATGTCGACGACATGCAGCTGATCGCGCCTGTTGGCTAAAGCAACAGTATTGTCCTTAACTGCCACAGAATCGGGACCATAAAAGCTGGTGCTCAAGCCCGTTCCAGCGGGGCTGTACGGGTCGGAAATGTCGGCGAAGCCGACCTGTGAGTCATCCGAGTAGACTGCAGTGCGCTGATCTGGTGCTATGTCAAAGGATCTTCCACCATCAGGGTTATCATTGGCGCCCTCCTGCGTTCGAAAAGCGAAGAATCCGATCCGATTAAAGATGCAACACTGCTTCCCAGGTTCGGGAGCCGGTGTCGTGGGTGGCTCGGTCCACCACTTCTGGCGACGGTAAGGGCCGTGGTGGCCTCGTCTCTGTCGCCGAAAGAAGCGGCGACCCGGTTGACGAGGCCGTGTGTGGGCAATCCGCGGGCCGCGAGCCGCTGGAGGCGTTCCCTCGGCTGTTTCATGCGTCACCTGAGCTCCAGATCTTTCGAAGCGCAGCCCACAACCCCTAACACCGTAGGGTTTAGGGTTTTAGGGTAAGCCCCAATCATGGAGCTGATGACTCTAAGCTGGATCCTAGATACCTCCTTGCCTAGGCCCGACTTCCTAGACCCTAAACCCTAAACACCTAAACCCCTAAACCCTAGACCCCGACTTCCTAGACCCAGCCCCCTAACCCCAGGCCCTCTAGTCCGACGAAGCCTCAACTCCTAAAGCCTCACTGACGAAGATCTCGGTTTAGGGGTTTAGGGTTGAGGGGTTTAGGGTTTAGGTCTAGGGCTTATAGGGTTTGCAGGGTTTAGGGTTTAGGACCCTTATAGAAAACTCTAACTAATAAGATCCTCACTACAATTTCAATTGCAAGGACCCCTAAGTAAGCCCTGTGTTTCTGAAACCCTCAGCGCGCTACCTGAAGCGAAGCTGAGCCATCATCCTCGCAGACGGCTTCCTGCGCTGCCCGGCAGCCGATGAGGAGAAGGCATGAGAAGAATGCCTTGTACCTCAGGGTTTGGGGCTGGGGCTAAGGGGAGTTTCTGTTCCAGGAGCAAGAATGAAGAGAAGTGTTTTGCTGCCTCCAACCATACCAGCAAACAACTTAAAAATCCCGAGAGCCCTTGCTGAATCCGAGGCCGTCGAACGGGTGCCCGAAGGTCCAACAACTCAAAACCGAACGGTGTACGGAGTTGAAGGGTGCTGTTGGCGAACGTCTTGAGGCAGTGGAGTGGTGGTCAATCATGTCGCAGTTTTGTGAATAGATGGGCAGTTGTCTAATTAGGACCCCTTCTGGGATCTGCTTTATAAGGATGCTGTACTACTTTGGGACCTAAGAAAGGGACCCCAATTTGGAGAACTGCCCATATTAAGACTACAGCTGTCAAGAAACTGAAGTGGGAATAACAGAGCCGTCTTTGGCAGGAAGGCCGGGGATTCCCGCAAAGAAACCCAGAGAGCCCAATACCCTTTAAAGAAGCAATAGTGCCTTAAATTATAGGTGCCTTAAATATTACGATTTAAGGTATATTCCTTGATTAAGGGGTACTGGGCGCTCTGGGAAAGACAACTACAACTGACTTAGAGGCGTGATCGCTGCTAGGAATGACAAGGATTTTGGTCTTCAACCCTTGCTGGTTTTCTT